TTCACCTACAGAAGATGAAAGAAGCGAAGGTAGGAGATTAAATAACATAAGCCAAATCTGATAGTTTGGTCACCATACAACTTTTAAATAGAGACCGAATACCGTGTAAATGGGGAAATACACTAGTTAGGGTTGAACAGTATCTACGATGAGCATGCATCAGTATCAGTATCAGTATATTGAGGGATGCGTAGGAAAAATTCCTTTGAGTGCCCTATAGCATGGGTTGTATAAAGACACCTTGAAATGAAGAAGTAGGCTGAGTACAAGTCGAGGTGTACGGAACTTGACCTTGATCAAATAAGTGAAAATGCAGATTCTTATTACACACAAAACTGCACATAAACAACTATAGTATAGGCGTAACTATAATTGTCTTAGGGAGAACAATGGTTGCGATTCGTTTGATTCCCCGTGACAAACGGAAAATAGCACTACTTTATCAGGATAACTCAACTTCACTTGCAACTAATATCAGTTTTCGCATAGTGTGCCTGATGACGCTTATATACAATATGATACTGATACTTATGATTCTTTCTCAAAAATATAATGCATACGCATGAAAAAAAACTAAGAGAATGAAGGTCAATTCGCGAAATTGAAAAGAAAAATCAACCAATTTTCCAATTATTAAGTTTATCGCAACATAAAGTAAGAAAGAGGACAAAGATAACTTGATAAATCGACGGCTCGCGTTACTAACATTTGGCTTTTTGAAAAACCACTTAAGTGAAAGTTAATATAAACAGTAAATAAGTGGCAGTCTCAAACTTTCAGTATTCTATTTATTTTGGATTCGCTCAATCGCACAATCTATACTAAAAAGAGGTAAATATGCATATAAATGGCGTCATTGTTTAATTGATTTAATGCATAAGACATTTAGTAACCAATGATGCTGATTATTCAGCTAACGATGAGGGTGGGTTGCATGTGCGATGAATGATCAGAACAGTCACACATTTTCCTGGGCCGTCGCTCGTCAAACTCACTAAGATTTTTGATAATCTCATCGTCTGAGTGTTTGCTGCATAGCGATGGAAATCATAATTAAGTAGGCGGAAATTAAGCTCCTGGAGGAGACAAATTTAGTCTGAGGGCTCCAACACGCCTGCAAATAGAACCACTCCTGTCTTTCCAAACTGTTGCTCCCGTCCTAGCCATAGACTCGTACACTAGATGAAGATTTTAAGGTTGACGTCATCTATACTGAGTTCAAGAAGGCGCTCGACAGCGCCCCACAAAAACGCATAATGTATAAATTATCTGAAATTGGAAAAGAAGGAAAGCTGCTGACATGGATCACAAATTTTCTCACGGGGTGATCGCAAACGGTGCGCATCGGTGCCTCGAAGTCAACCCCATACTCCTGTTCAATGTGGTGTCCTCCAAGGCTCCGTGTTAGGGCGGTTGCTCTTTCTAATCTATATCAACGACTGTGTCGCCGACCTGGATAACAGCGCCATTATGTTTGCTGACTGTGGAAAATTCTAGAGAACCATTATGTCTCACGCCAATGGGTGTGCACTTCAAG